CTTGGGAGGAGGAGGAGGGCCGCTGCCGAGCCCGGGCGACGGCGGGTGGGGGGGACGAGTGACGCCAGCTGGGTGACAAAGAAACAGATGGGAGAGGAGCCGGTCGCGGCTCCGACACCGCGTGCCGCCGTGCGGGTGGGAGAGCTGGCGGCGGGCTGGGGAGTGCCGAAGGGAGAGGGGCGCACGTCCTTCCCGGTGATTTTTTGCATGGAGACGGGCTGGGAAGCTGCCTGGCGATCCTCCTCCGCTGAGCTGGGCCAACCCGGTGTTTTCCTGGGTTAACCGGCTGCTAAAAAACACTGGTGATTTTTTGCATGGAGACGGGCTGGGAAGCTGCCTGGCGATCCTCCTCCGCTGAGCTGGGCCAACCCGGTGTTTTCCTGGGTTAACCGGCTGCTAAAAAACAGGAGGGGAAGCCCGAACCGCTGGCCTAGCCTGATGTGGATGCTCAGGTTGGTTCGGGCAAGGAGAGGCCTAATTGGAGTTAAACTCTCCCTGGCTTCTCGTGGGATAAAAATTCAGCAATTTTGTATACGTGAGGCTCATAAATGCAGAGCCCCCCCTCTGTCTTTGCAGCTGGTCTTTTAAATCCCACAGATAGCCTCAGCCCTGGCCAAAGGGTTTCTTTGGCTGTGGGCAGATCCGTCCTGTAGATGTGTCGAGTCACTGCTGTCAAAACCAAATTACTTACTCAGTTCAGCTCGGTCTCTAATAAAAAGATAAAATGAAATCCCCTCGGGAGATTAGAAAGCTGGTGTCCACTAGAAAGCCTCCGGCTGGCAGGCTTGCAAAGCTCTGGTGGGAAGAGTTATTTACTTGAAGGAAAATAACCTTTTCCCGGCGGCGCTTGAAATCGAAGCGCGGAAGCACTGAGGATGTGAAAGTGAAACGAGCTCCCGCGCCGGAGGGGGAAGAGGGACGGGCTGCTGGGGACTCCTCTGTCCCCCCAGTTGTCCTAAAATGGTGCCTGTGTGTGCCCTGGCTTTGCAGGGACAACTTGTGCTCCTGTTTTACTGAGCAAAGTGGCACCTGAGCTCTGTCCACAGTGGCCCTTGGGACAGCAGCAGGATGGTAAACGAAGCTCTGTTCGGTCTTTGTCCGATCCCTTCGTTAAAGGCTCCCCCCCTTGTTACAGAGCCGGATGACACGCTTCCTCCTGAGCACCTGGGGTGTTGAGGGGGTCTCGATAGAGTTGCTTGCCTGCAGGCAGCTTTTGCTGGTGGATGGGGTCTGTGGCTCGTGATTCCCTGTCACACACCCACCGATATTGTGTGTTTAATCCTTGTGACGGCAGCGGAAACCATCCGGGAGCCTCTACCGGGCTGCAGGTTTGCCCTGCGTGTGGGCATTGCCCTCGTCCTCGCAGCCCCTTGAGGGGATTTGCCTGCCTGCTGGCTCCTCTTCCCGGGGACGCCCGAGGGCAGCAGTGCTCCTGCTGCGCAGCCCGGTCCTTTCTGGAGCTGGGAGAGCCGTGACAAGTGGTGCCGGCAGAGATTGGGGCTCAGAAAAGGCCAAAGGAGCATTGCGGCAGGTGTGCGTTGTCTTTTGCTGCCATTCCCCAAAACGGCCATGAAGCTGAAGGTAGAGAAGGGACCGAGCTCTCGTTTTCTGACTTGGGGCTTTGCGTGTACTGGATCCCCACAGCTCCCACTGGAGCCAGCCACGGACAGGGGCAGGAACGCCTGCATACCTCCCTGCGGGACTCGACTCTGTTTGCAAATCCTCCCGCGCCTCTCTGCTGCTAGCGGGCATCACCTGGGGATCCAGCAGCACAGTGGCCGGAGCAGAAGGGCTGCTCGGCGAGGCTCGCCGTGAGCCCCGTCCTCTCTCTAACGCGGCATCCAGTCCAGGGCTGCTCCCATCTCGGGGCTCTGTCCCAGTTCTCTGCAGGTCCCAGCAGCGCTCCGATCCTGTCATCCCACAGGAATCCGCAGGGCTCAGCACAGATCCGATGACAGCCGGGACCTGCCACCCCCTGTGCTTCGGCCTAGAAGGAGCCAGTTTATTGCTCTCCCAATTTGTCAGAGAGGTGCCAGCCTGCACATGCCTCCTGACAGGGCTGGAGTGGGTCTCGGTTCAGTCCAGAGAGCAGCAGGTAACCAGTACCTTGGTAGATCCCCTGCCCTTGTTATAGGGGAGGAGGAGGAGGAGCAGGCAGGCTCTGAGAGCCGGTGCCCGAGGCTGTGCGTGTTGTTGTGCGTGTAGTGTTTCCGGGGACATCTCTGATCCCCACAGTCATGTCACAGCCGGAGAAACGGGTCACCACTACGTGCTGGTTTTGATGCTGCCTCCACCTCCAAACGGCGGCGCTGCTTTTAGCTGCAGTTACGCTGGATCCTTTGCTCCCAGCTCCGTGGGCGATTTAAAAAGGAAAGTCATAGGGATTTACTACGCTGGTGTCTTTGATTGCAACCAGAGGTGAGGGCAGGACAGGGCAAAGGCTCTGTCGTCGGAGAGGTCAGCCGTTGCCTCGCCGGGCTGCGGCTTGATGGAGCAGCCTGTTCCCTGAGAGCAAAGTCTTGCAGCGAGGCCGTTGCTGCGGCCAGCTCGCTCCGCAGATGTGTGGTTGTTGCCCTTGTGTAGCTGGGCTTTACCCCGGGAGCTGCAGCCAGGCCCGTGGGGGGTGCAGAGGGCAGCAGGACTGGCCCCAGCGGGCATCAGCCAGGGGCAAAAAGGTGGAGCCACCTGCTTAAGAGGAATCTGGAAAGACGAGGTTGCCTTTTTCTGCTCTGTCCTCTTCCCTTGCGTTTTGCCTGCCCCAGCTTTGTTTTTGGGCTGAGCTCTGCCATGCCAAGAGCTGTTTCAATGCCGCTTGCCCTTCACCCAGTGTTAAACTCCATCCCCGGTCGGTGCCAGGAACCGGACGACATTCCCGAGCAGCAGTGCAGCCGGCCAATGGCTCCGTCTCTCCCCTAGTTAGTGGCGTGGTAATGCATAA